TTTGTTACAGAAACAGGAAAGAAAACTACCACAACTCTCAAACCACTCTGTTATTTTTTTTCCTATTGCTCAAAATGTATGTGGTTTGTTACACATGTTTTGTTTTTGTCAGAATGTAGCCTAGACCCTCATCCTTCTGGTCCTGCTTGATCTTTTCTCAAGGAGAATTTTGTATTTTCAGGAGTCACTGACATTCAAAGATGTGTCTGTGGACTTCACTTGGGAGGAGTCGATGCAGCTAGATTCTGCACAGAATTACTCTGTATGGCAGAGTGATGCTAGAGGGCTATAGCAATCTGCTCTCCCAGGGTGAGCACCCCCACCTTCAGCCTTCTGCCATATGGAATTCACAATCTGACTTGAAAGCCCCGATCTCGTGGGGCATTGTTTAGGATAGTGCCCTAGTGCCCCTCTCTCACGGTGGAAAGTCTATCGAGAACGGAGAACATGGAAAGGGGGAAATTAGAACAATGCTGGGGGTGCGTGCTGACTGAGGTCAGAACCCAACCTGGTCTCTTTCTTCCCAAGCAGAGCATCAACCTTCCAAACCAATTGTGATCTCTGAGCTGGAACAAGAACTGACCCTGAGAAAAAGAGAATTCCCAGGTTGCATCTCTCTGGGTAAGTGTCAGGATGCAAGGACGGGAAATGTGTGTGTTACTGGTAAGCGTGAACAAGATTGTGAAGTCTCTGGAGAGACCAGCTCCCACAAGATGCGTATTTTATGAAGAGAGTGTCACCATGCCAATGAGAGTTGTCCTCTGTCACTCAAGCTTCTGTCCTGGTCTTGCAGGAGGGCGTGGGTGCGTTGTGAGGCTTGAGTAACTACACATGAAGCATTTGTACATAGCCTAGAGCCACCAAGCATTTGGAAATGTTAGCAATGACTGTTTCCTCTCTGTCTTCATCTGTGTTCAGTTATATCTGTCCCTGACTGAAACATATCCTTTTACTGTCTTTCTTCCCAGGCCTAATCTATATTCCTAGCTTCCTTCCCCTTTTATATGTAAACATTTGGGAGTGTTCTTTTCTTTCTGCCTTGATGGGGATTTTGAATAGGCTGCATATTTTAAAAAGTGAGAAATGACTATAGTTTTCTTTGCAATTCCAACAGCTTTACATCCTTACACATCCTACTTTCTTCTCTAAAAGTCCTATCTGTGTCCACCATCAACCTCTCCCTTGCCCTGTAGCTCTTCATACTTGTGCCTTGGTCAGCCTCCGTCACAGCTGAGAGTTCTCTATGAGGCAATATCATTGGCCTTTCTCTGCAGAAACACATTTTACATCTTGCCTTTCCCACCTTTCTAGCCCTGTTCTTTTAAAATGTATTTTTTTAAAGCTAAAGAATGAGCAAGGGACTTAGAGATGGCTCTGTTGGTAATGTGTTTGCTGCTTAAACATGAAAACCTGAGTTCTATTCCCAGTGTCCATGTAGAAGCAGTGCCTGTAGTATAGGCTTCACACACCTTTAACTCAGAGTGAGGCAGGAAGATTCCTGCGTCTCTCTGGCCAGCTACTGTAGACAAATTGGTGAGCTCGAGGTTCAGTCAGAGACCCAGTCTCTGACAATAAGGTGGAGTGTAATGGAGACACCTGACATCATCCCTGCCTCAGAAACAAAGGGATGTAGTACTACATTAATGGTGGTTGTCTTGCCATTGTCCGTACCATGTGACTTGTTGGAAAATGTCCTCAGGAGAAGATGCTGGGGTGCTCAGGGGTAGCATGTTAAATAAGTGAGCTAAGAAGTGGTCCAGCAAAGCCAGTACTTATATACAATACACAGAAACAATAAATGAGGCCCCAGTATCTGCAGCCAGATACTGAGGGTCAGATGTGTTCATTGCTCTCTCATTTCTGTAGATTCAGACTTACACAATTATAAACGCACTAAGGAAGCTGAGGAGAGACTGGCTGTTGTCTGACTGCCACTTATGTGTTAACCTCTCCCTGGGGACCCCTGCATACTTAGAAGCATCTGTTTGTGCAGTTTGTCAAGGAAATAGGAAAACAGATATTCTGAGTATAGGCACAGCAGTTACCCTGAAAGTATTTTCTGAAGAAAAGGGAGCTGTTATAACTTTCATAGGCGCAGACAAAAGGAAATTATAAACAAACATGTTCAATGAATATCTTGGGGCGGGAACCATCAGTAAATGAGTTAAGGCAAAGCAGGAAATTCCTGGCTACTGGACTGTGTCGGTGTTATACTGTGTTCTTTGTGAGGATGTTGATCAACGCAGAGGTCAAGTCTCAGATGCATCCCTAAAGTTTAACTAAGAGCAGTGAGGACATGAGGTCAGACACAAGTCAGGACTAATGGTTTATCTTGTAAAGATTCTCTTCCTGGCCTCCAGCAAGCCTATCTTTTTATATCTCCATGCAGAAGTTGCCCATCTGGTATTTGCATGAAGAAATTCACATAATTTCTTTAGGAATGTTTAATTTTCCAACATGAATGAAATGTTCTGAGCACTACTGCTGGCTTTTCGTGAGTTTCCTCGAGAACAGGATGACTCCCTGGGCTGAGGGTCGATGCATTTAGAGGTCTCCCTGCCTGATGTACAACTTCTAGTCCCATTTTATGCTTGTAATGCTCACTTATCTGGTATAATATGATCCCTTTAGGGAGCTTACTTGCTTTCATTAAAGATATCTGTGGTGCTGGTTACTATTGGTACTCATGTTTATGGTTTTAAATAGTTTATTCATTCCACAAATAGTCATTGACTATTAGGCCCTCTTTCTGGCACTGGGATTGCAGCAAGAAAGCAACATAGGCAGGATTCCCTCACGCTCATGTTCTAGTTAGGAAGATAATACATTAATAGAGGAGGGAGAGACATGGCAGAAGGGAAGAGAAGAAAGCAGTAGAGGAGGGGTAGTAGCACAGTCGGTGAGTGGCTGGAAGGAGAAAGCAGCCAAGGTCTAGGTTAGATCTGCTTTGAACAGACTTTGAACAGATACTCAAATAAAGCCATAGGTCTGTAACCAGGGTGTTTTCTACCAACACCCTAGTTCCCAAGTAATGACTCAGACTTAAGTATTTACCAATAAATGCCCAGGCCGTAAGCTTGGGCCTGTTCCCTGACTAGCTTATAATTCCTATAACCTGTCTATTGTATTGTATTGTATTGTATTGTATTGTACTGTATTGTATGGCACATGGCTGGTTACCCCTCCTCAGTTTTATGTGTCCATCTCCTCAGAGTCCAGGTGACGAATGTCCCATGCCTTACTGACTCCCCAGAGCCCTGTCTTTCTACCAGAGCTTGCACCTCTTATTTCCTCACTTTTGCTAATAGATCATCAGCTTTTTATTGACAGTTAATGCTTCCAAACAGTATACAGAGATTCTACCTAGGTCTAGGACAGTATTCTGGGCATAGGGAACAGCAAGGGCCAATGTTCTGATGTGGGGGGTTGATCTACTAAAGGGGAGAAAGCCTTGAGGGAAAAGTCCTCAAAATACAGTTCTTTCATTCCTGAGGGGGGTGGGGATCTTATTTTCTGCTTTGAGATTTTCTACTTCTGCATTGGTATTTTTAGCCTCTCTCTCTCTCTCTCTCTCTCTCTCTCTCTCTCTCTCTCTCTCTCTCCCTCCCTCCCCCCCCTTCACCTCCCCCTCTCCCTCTGTGAATGTGTGTGTGTCATATTCACTTGTGGTGTATGCATATGTGTGTGGTATATACACTTGTGTGTGGTGTGTGCGTATGTGTGTGAGACACATGCATTTATGTGTGGGGTATACATAGGTGTGTGCTGGTGTGCTCACTCAAGACCAGAAGCCATCTGGTGTCCTCCTTTATCAGTCTGCTCATTCCCTTTAGATAGGGTCTCTGAACCTGGAGTGAGGCTGGCAGCCAGTGAGCCACAGCAGCTCTCTGTGTGACCCCCAGAGCACAAATTGACCCCCTACAGGCACAAATGCCCATGCTCATCTCTCTCTATGTGTGCTGGGATTGGAACTCCGTCCTCATGCGTGCAGAGCCATCTCCAGGGCTCCTGTTCCGTTTTGTTAGCAATGCATGGACTTTGCTCGCATTGTGAATGCTAGCATTTCAGTAGTTTTGGAGTTTGTTGCTATACACATGTAGTTATGTATTTCTATACTCCCCAGACATAGTGTATTTGTTCAGGGTTCTTTTTAGTCATTTCACTGTCATGGTGAGGTTTCTTGAGGCACTGGATGGACGTGTTTATTGGTGGTACTAGAGCCAATCCTCACCTCTCCTGAGCTAAGCTCGGGCCTTCCCACTCGGCTGCGTCTGGAGCCCCATGCTTTGATGACGATTTCCTACCCCACTCCTTTATCTTCTTTCAGACTTTTCCATCAGGAAGGATCCAAAAACTTCTTCAGCTGTTTATGGTTTGGAGTACACACTGTGTTTACCTGTCTTCCTGAGTGTCCGTCTGTCTGCAGGCATGTAGTTTCATTATATGCCTACCCATTGCCTGCCAGAGTAAATATTTGATAATATTTGTTGAATGAATAGTGGATGACATTAAGTAGAACTTGCAGAAGTCAGGTGCAAATGTAGGCTTGAGAACGGTAACTGTATCTGTGGAATCCATAGCAATGCAAACTGGAAAATTATCAGGAGAGAACCAGAGGCCAAAACGTTCTCACACAGATTACAGAAGGATGCCCAGGGATGAGGAAGAGACTGGGTCAGGGAAAAAAGGAAATCAGAAAGAATCCAGCAGTACCAAGTAAGAAAAGATAAAATGCCTGTGGACCGAGCAATCGGGAAGCCACGTGTGGCCCAGGGACGAGCGTGTGCCGTGCTAAGGGCCTGTGCTAGGATGGGCTGTGCGTGGAAGAGTACAGAAGCAAGGACAGCCTTACATCAAGGCTAGACTGAAGGGAAGAAGGGAGAGAAGAGGACCTCTACTGTGTTCTTCAGAGGATGGATCTGAATTATCCTCTAGAGAAGGAGAAACTGAGGAGATAGGAAAGAGAACAGAGTGAAGTCCAGAGAAGACAGTGAGTGCAGTGTAGAGCGGATCCTGTCAGGGTACCTGTTCAGTGGTGCATGCGCAGTGATGGATGGGTGCATGTGCAGTGATGGCTGGGTGCATGCGCAGTGATGGCTGAGTTCACTTCTCCAGTCACCTGGCCCCTTCCTCACCTTTGCAGGCCTGGCGCATTGTCTTTGAGCATCCTGTGTTCCTGGGACGATATCCTACGCTGGTTTTTAAAAATTTGTAGGTAATCTTTTTGTTTTTCTTTTTCTTAAGAGTTAAGCCTTCAGAGTTTACATTTAAATTAGACATCTAAATTTAATAAAGAATATATTGAACCTTATTAAGTTTTTTATGGTGTTTTCAGTTTTTTTTTTTTTTTAAAAAAAACTTTTAGCAATTTTGCAGAATAACAAATGCTTTATTCTTTTTCGCATTTGGTTTCTGAAGCATATATAAACAGAAGAATTTATAAAGCATAAGCTATTTGACACAATGCATATTCTGTTACGCCCTTAATAAATTAATGCTTTACTATTTTTTCTTATATAAATACTTTAAGGTAAGTACCACTTAACAGATAAGGAGCCTGGAACACACAAAGGTTAAGAAGCCTTCATAAAGTCACACAGCTAATAGTGGTTGAAGTCAAATTTGAGCAGGATAGATAATCTGGCCCTAGAGTTATTACCTAACCACTATGCCCTCCTGCTTTTCTTTGTAGTTGGTAATGATGAAAATTAGTGAAGAAGAAAGAGGGCAGACGCCCAGGTCCAGAACCTAGACCAAGAACAAGCATCCCTTGCATGGTCTAACTTCTATTCAATACTGACCACTATTCTAATCTGTGATAATTTCTGTATTACTCACAGTTCTCTAGAGGAACAGAAGGGCATTTATTAGGATGGTATACAGGCTGTGGTCCAACTAGCTAGTCCAACAGTGGCTCTCTTGAAGAAAAGGCCAAAAATCCATGAGTCTGGGTGTGTCAGCTGCTCTTCAATCTGTATTAGAATTACAAAGAAATAGGTTCTGATACCAGCAAAGGAATGCCCTGGCAGCAGGATAGATGAGCTGTTAGTGAGAGTGAGGGCAAGCAGGCAAAAGCAAACGCTTCCTTCTTCTGTGTTCTTTTATGTGAGCTGCCACCAAATGTGGCCCAGATTTAGGAGGAGGGAGTTCCTACTTCAGATGTCCCAAGTTTGTCTTCCCACCTCAAATGATCCAGTCAAGTAACCTCCACCTCCAGACATGCCCAACAGTTGGGTTCTAGTTATTACAGATGTAGTAAAGTTGACAACCAGGCTAGCCATCACAAGTCTATTCTTTGTCAACTTGACACGCAATCACATCATGGCCAATTTCCAAATGAAAATGATAATGAGGCCATACTTACACTTAACAAGATGTAACCATCCCAAGTATAACCATGAGTGTATTATAGGTGGCAATGTCCCCTGAGGAATGGTTAGTCTTTTAGTGTCTCATAACTTACATATGATAACCATATGATAACTTACATATGATAACCATTAATATTATCTCAACTGATAGTATATTACATGACAAAGAAATAAAAAAACACAAATATCAGTTAATATACATGGATATATGCACAAACTCATCCTTAACAAAATAGAAAAGAAACGCTTATGTCAATGGCAATTTGTTTTCTGTTATGTGGCCTAACTACCCATTTTGTATTTTTTCCACCCTCAGCAAGCATCTCAGCAGGTCTTGGTTCTTTTCCTGGAGGAGTGACCCATGCCTTCATAACTAAGGGCCTAGACTTTGTCATCCTGCCTGTATTGGGGTGTTTTAGTTTCTCACTGACTTTAATCACAAACCATGGTGGCACCAAGAGACACCCTAAAGGATTCCTGCACTCCAGACTTAATCTTTCTTACCTCCATTGTAGAGAAGCAATCCAATTTCTCTCTGGTAATCTAGATCAGTCACCCCACTAACACTGTTCTTCCTTTCTTAGCCTATTGGCTTAAGAGGATCAGAAACCCAGAGTGACCAGGGGACAAGTCTGAGCTTCCAGTTCAGTAGAGTTCTGTGGTGTCCTGGCAGGAGCACAGCCTCATCTGGAACCAAACTTCTAGGCTAGCAGAACTTAAGGTCATAGGAACAGGATGCAATTTTTTTCAAACAGATCACTAGGGTTGATGAGTGGAACTATTCCCATTTCCACCTTCCTTGATTCCTGTACCAGTGAATCCTGACTGTAGGGGAACTGTACTTTATATTGGGTGAAGATTAAAAGCATATACCTTCTTCTGGAGAACCCTGTTCTAGCCATCCAGGCTGATGCTACCTAATTGGCACTGTAGCTGTGTCTTCAAAGGGCAATCCCATTGTTCTATCAGGCCAGCTGCTTGAGGATCATGGATTCCATGAGCACAAGCCCACTGTCACACTTCTCTGGCTATGAGTTCCTTGGTTAGAACCAATGCTATATTGAATAACATGACAGTGAAGAATGGTTTCTATCAGTCTACAATGGTACTGCTGGCAGCATTTCATGAAGGAAAGGCAAACCCATAATCAGAAAAAGAGTCTATTCCAGTAAGGACAAAATGTTGCCCTTTCTATGAAAAAAGTGGCCCCATTGCAGTCAAGTTGACAATCAAGATCAACCGTCACAATTCCATTTTCTGGATCTTCTTTACAGTGGTGCCATTTGTCTATGCTAAAAGATTTCCCCCCACACTTTTTGTTGGATTCTGGGTAGCAATTCACATATTCTCAAAGAACTTGAATTGGATAACTGGGTACTGCCAGAGTGACCTGGAGCAAGAGACAACTGCCAGCTCATATTGCTGGCTGATACCACTAGATAGAGATGCTCTGCAGTGTTATTCAGGGCGTGTATTTGGTGGTAACTCCTGCTTGACTTCTGATTTTTCTGTTTGTTAAAGCAGATCAGCATGGAAGGGGAAAGCCCTGTTACATATATTTCTTGCTTCTATGCCTCTGGTTTATTGTTCCCATGTTAATCTCTGCTATATTAACTTTGATTGACAGTCCTAAAGCTGGTTCTCAGGTTGCAGTTTCCTGTCCTCATTCCTCAGTGCCTCCTGAACACTTTGTCTGTGATACGAAATGGAATCTTACGAGTCTGAGCAACTCCAGGGTCCTTTCTTCTGCCCACTTACCTTTAGCAGTTCAACAGATTCTCTTCACCTTTCTGTGCTCAGCACAAATTCTCAACTTCATAGAAAAACATTTAGGAAAGAGTAGGGATGTTTAGGCCTATTACATTCTTAAGTGGAACTGTCTGCTTAAAAGTTAAGAAGAGAGGCATTTAAAACAGCATCATCCTCCATTAAAAGTTGTGAGCTTCAAATGTGTTCCATTCTTTATGTTGTAGATGAGGATATTCTCTAAGGGAAGTTTATAAATAGTGTCTTACTCATTATCGATTATGTTAGATCTGTAAAAGCCCATACACAAATAAACAAGTAAATCATTAAGATAGTGTTAACATTCACAGTTTAAACTTGTCTGTGTGACTCAAGGGACAACAATTTTTTCATACTTTGATATTTTATTAGATTGATTTGACATAGAGTTGTTTAGAAACTACTAGTGGGAATGCCAGATGGATACACATCTTGGTTTCTTTTCCAGTTGCTCTAATAAACCAACATAGGGCAGAAAGAAGGTATTTCAGCTTACAGCACCGTCATGGCAGAGAAAACACAGCTAAAGGAGACAGAGAATCCATGAATCCAGCACAGAGTTATGAGTACATTCCTGCTACTACTAAGCCGGCTATTCACCTTATAAAGGATTCTCTGCCCAGGGAGTGAGGTCATCCACGGTCTGTACGGGTCTTCCCACGTCAGTTAGTGTAATCAAGATAGTCCCTGATAGGCATGTCCTTAGGCCAGCCCAGCCTAATAATGCCTCATCCAGGCTTCCTTCCCAGATACATCTAGATTCTGTTAACAATGTCAGTGCTCAGAGTTCCACCTGTCAATATGATACCAAATCACTTTTAAGCCATAACCTACCCCTTGTCTCCATAGTCTCATTACCATGTTATAAATATATGTAATCCAACTTTCAGATATTTCAACAAAATATAAAACTAATGGCCCCTAGCCCAGACCCTGATAGAATCCTTGTTTCCCTATGAAACCTTATGGAACATGTTTATCTCAGTTTTGTAAGTTCTCCCTAGAATGAGTTAAGCGCTGATTCCTCCGTTCACTGTACCAGATTCTTCCACATTCTAGCCACAGATGTGTCCAAAGGGAGAAGAATGACACAGTCAAGTATACACACTAACGGCCCACTTCTGGTAGCAATTTCTGTCTAAGTTACTTCTCTGTTGCTGTGATAAACTACTCTGACAAAAGCAACTTAAGAGAGAAAGTGTTTATTCCATTCATTGCACAGTAAAGTCCACTCACGGTAGAGAAGACAACAGTGGCAGGTGGCTGAGGGAGCTGGCCACCACACATCTGCAGTCAGAAGAGAACAATGAATGCATGCTTGTTAGTGGCCATCTTCCTATCTATCCCCAGTTTATACAGGATCCCCTGCCCAAGAGAAGGCACAGGTGAGCATTCTCACATCAGTTCATAGAATCACAATAATCCTCCATAGGTCAACTCAACCTAGATAATTCTTCACTGAGATTGCCTTCCCAGAGGACTCTGAATTCTGTCAAGTGGATTAAGTAATCATGAAGATACACCACATCATTCTCACCTGCGTTCCCTAGCCAATCTCTTCTGTGTATTTTCCCCTAGTTCTATGTTAACTATTGATGCATCTATCCTGCATGAGCTATACCCTCCTCTCCACGTATCCAGTGCATCTGCCACTGTCTTAGTTCTTCTGCTTTTGTGGACTGGTACATTGTTCTTCACCTTTTGATTGCTCTAGGAATTGTAGAACTATGTTAGAAATCTCTTCAGTGCATGTAACAGTTGTTCTACCTTTATTCTCTTCGGCCCTCCACCACATGTAGCTTCTAGTCACTTAGCACAGGAACCAATATGCATCTGAATTTTTACTTTATTGCAGGACGGGAGACAAGACTTGAAACCAGAGAGTCAACTCCAAAGTTCACCATTGCTGAAATTTTGCCCTATGGGGTCATAATGGACAGGGAAGATCTCTGGCATTCAGCTTTGGGGGCTGTCTGGGATCCTACTTGTTGGTTAGGGGGGCAACACGAAAGATATCTGTGCCAAGTGACAGTGGCTCAAAAGGAATTCTATAATGAGAAGAGTGTGTGCAGAGGTAATAAAACTGAAAACTCTTCCATTAAGGGTTCAATGTGTAATGCACCACAAAGCATTCCTGTGAAAATAAGACCTTGGAATTGGAATTCATATGAAAAAGATTCTCAACACAATTCTGAGTTAATGAAAACTTCAAGAATGTTTGTACAAAAGAAAATATTTGAATGTGATGAGTGTGGGAAACCCTTCAGCCAGAGTTCATCCCTGCTTAAGCACCAGAGGATTCACACTGGGGAGAAACCTTATACATGCAATGTATGTGACAAGCATTTCATTGAACGCTCCTCCCTCACTGTACATCAAAGGACTCACACAGGAGAAAAACCCTACAAATGTAATGAGTGTGGGAAAGCCTTTAGTCAGAGTATGAACCTTACTGTTCATCAAAGAACTCATACTGGAGAGAAACCTTATCAATGCAAAG